AACGCGCTGCCGCACGACCGCGGACCACCTCGACGACCACCGTCGCCGCCGCCGCCGCCGCCTTCACGAGATTGATTTCCACATCGCGCACCACCGACGCGGGCAACTGTCACTTCACTTCAGCCGAGACAAACAGCTGAGCGAGCCGCGCTGCGTACGACGCGACGCGCACGGAACAACGCACACTGTGCGCTCCGCGGGAGCGAAGCTAGCGGAACAGCCGAACGGGACGGGACGGGACGGAACGATACAGAGCGGTGCGCGGAACGGCGCGGTGGTGTGGTGCGGGGAACGAACTGGACAGCGAATAATTGATCTTCTCGCCGCGGCGCTTGAAGTTGGCTGGCGCGCCGACGCCGACGCCGACGCGACGGCGTGCACGACGCGCGCGGTCAACTTCAGCGCCGCGTCGTGATTTTAGCGCGCGTGATTTAATTTCTCAACGAAAAATATGCCTCTAATTATCTCGTCATATATGTTTCCTCGCGAGACGACAGTTTCTCCTCAGCGGACACTTCCGAGTCGATTTGATTAGCGATATCGCGACCTTTCGATTTTGTAAAACGGGAGATTATTGAAGAGAATTAATTTGTTTTTTTTTTTTTTTTTTTTTCAGATTACAGCAGATTTTGCAGTGTTCTCTGCCAACGAGATTTGTAGCAAATACTTTGGATGAGCTTTCCTAGCTGAATGAAGGAGAAATAATGATCATTTTCGTTTTAATAAAAAAAAGCATTTCTATAAATGTATTATTTTAAATAAAATTGTTTGAAATAATACAGGCAAGAAATGCAGAGGAATAGTAATATTTACATAGACAATTGCAGTGCAATTTACGGTTGCGATCTACGGTTGGATAAAATTATTCGAATCGTCTTGATTAGCCCACATGGTGGGGTACCCAGACCTTCATGAGCAATTTTCCATAACGACATATTCGTCATTGAATTATCATTAGTGGAGCCATTAAGAAAAAAGTTCATCTGTGGGCGTTATACATATATAGTATATATACATATAACGTGTGTTCAGCAAACAGAAATTTCTGAATGTTTTATAAAAACCGGATACGAATTTAGTTGACAATTAATGATTCCTTAAACAATTTCCTAAAACGGAATTATTTGTATCTCGTATGAAGACTTTTAAAATGCTGTAATTTTCAAAATTTTACAAATTGCATACAATTTTAAATAATTAAATATTCTAATTGATAACAATTAGTGTTTACCAATATGAATATATAAATCTTATTTTATTTGAATAAATTTAAAGTAAAATTATATTTTACGGAGTTCTGAAACATAATTGAAAAGATTTTTCATAGATTTTTTTAGATAGTTTAAATTAAATATTTTTCATACAAAATACAGACGATTCTATAAAGAAATTGTGTAAAAAAATTATTTATTGTTGGCTAAATTCATACGAATCGAGGAAGATTTCTGAATTGGACCGCGATCGCAAGTATTGAAATACTCCGATTGCTCCGATTAGCAATATTGAAACGCTGCCACGCCATCTGTCAACGTATACACACGTAAACATGTATGCACTTTATGTACACGCACGGCCGCGCACACACATGCGCGTGCCGATCTGCCGAGTGCGAGTGTCGCGAGCGCTTGTCACGCTCGCCGGAAGGTTAGATCCCGATGATTAAGTCGAGCCGGACCTCATAAACACGCGATATACGGGGCGGGTAGCGGCGCCTCAGGGTTTTCATCTTTTTACGTAGGATGGAGGAGATCGACAATATAATAATTCACTCGTTGCGACAAATAGGCTGGTAAGTGGCCCCCCCGGATTATTCGACGATTCCGATCGGCTCGCCGCTGGGATTTTTTTCTCTTGCGGCGATAAAGGTGGGCGGTGTTTCGGCGACCTCCTCGCGATCGGGCATCGCGCACGTAAACTCGTTCGCACGATCATCTCCCTCGCCGTTACGTCGATATACGTCGTCGTTGGCGTCAATATGGGCGAGAATCATTAAACGTCAATACTCGAAAAAATACTGTGACTTCGACGTGACGCGCGAGAAGTCTTATAGAAATAAGATTACGAAATAGACGTACCTTCTGTTTTCTTGCCTCGATGAAATTCCAGAAGACGCCGCAGATCGACCGTGATTCCCATACAGTTTTCTCGGTTTCCTTCCAATTGTTACGAGCAAACGTTTCTTTTTTTCAGTGACATTGAAGAGAACGTAACGAATCTCAGTGGCTTTAACACCGAATTAGTAGTTGAAGCCACTGTAAGATGCTTAGAAGCAATAAGGCCGGGCCTAGGCCTGTCCACCGTACTACCCGTGAACATGGCAGCGCGCTTTCGACTGGGCGCTACCCTCGCGCAAACGTGCACGGTAAATATATCTTGTCCTTTCATAGACCGACACGTATATCGCTTTGATTTCGCTTGTCTTCCATTCGGTCGTTCGAAATTACAGGAACTCGGGTACAGAGGTGACATCGGCTACCAGACGTTCCTGTACAACTCGGAAGCAGATCTGCGAAGGGTGTTTATGTTTCTCATCGAAAAACTGCCAAAGGAGAGTGAGAAGACCGTAAACGAGTCCATCAGTAAGGTCGCTCTGTTGGAGAAATCGGTAGCGTCCGCGATATCCCGGGGGCTCTCTGTACCGTGGTTGCCGCACTATTGTCACAAACAAGGATTCAGGAATAGAGGGAGAGCGAGTGTCCCTTACGCATCTGTAAATATTGAAGTACCAATAGCAGATATGGAGGATGGTAATGTAACATTAATATTAATTGAATTATGCCAATTGAGTTGCGCCAAAATGTACAAAAAAGACAATGTTAATACATGACCGGTATATCGTTATTGTTGCAGATTATAAAGACTATTGTATGCGCTATTTACAACCAGTGCCTGAACAAATGCAAGACATTTCATGCTTTTTACCTTCAATGATATCGTACAATGCGAGAGCGCTTAATACTAATCCAACAGATATTGTGCAGCGCATAAATTGGCTCAATAATCAACAACAGTCTGAGAAAGCTGCTTATTCTAATGCGTATAATATTGTCAAGGAGTTCAGCAAGTTCTCGTCGGAGAACAGGACGCAAACTTCAACAGTAAGCATGCAGAATGCATCTTTTTATTATACACGTACTTTTGCACACTCGATATGGCTGTTAAACTTCTAGGAATCTCAGGTGAAACCAGAATCCGCAATACATCCAGTGCTTCCAAATCAAGAAATGTTAAGAAACGAGGCAAAACAGGAAGTTGAAACAGAAAAGTTGAAAGGCGAATGCGAAAGTCTTAGAATAAGTATAGAGGAATTACAAAATGAGATTAAGAAATTGACCACCAGATTGGCACAAGCGACGATAACGAGTCAGAACGAAGAGAAGGAGTTAAAAGTCAGTGAGGAACAGAAAAAGATCAAAGCAAGAGCGTACGAACTACTTCAAGATGGGCCAGAGAACGTAAAGAAGTTGGAGTCCGCAATTGAAGCTAGTACAAGCAAATTGATTAACTTAGCGAATCAGTGGGAAAAGCACAGAGTACCCTTAATCATGAAGTACAGGCAAGAAAGAGAAAAGCATTCCACAAAAGCCGTAAGTATACAGAATTGTTGAATATGTAATATTTTGGGATAGCAAAGGAAATGCTATTTGTATTGTATAAACAATTAACATTTCTAACACAGAATGCGAGCCAAAAGAAGCTGGACGAGATAAAATTCTTAAAAGAGAAGGAGAAGGAACTTCAGGAGGAATGTCGGAATAAGGATCAACAGTATTCACAGCTGGTCGCGGAAGTTCAGAAGCTTCCGAAGGAAGTGAACAGATCCGCGTACACTCAACGAATTTTAGAAATAATAAATAACGTCAGGAAACAGAGGGATGAGATAAGCAAGGTTCTGGCGGATACCCGTGAGATTCAGAAGGAAATCAATACGCTTACCGGGAGACTGGAGAGATCCTTCACCGTCGTGGACGAGCTGATATTCAGAGACGCGAGGACGAACGAAGCTTCGCGGAAGGCTTACAAATTACTGGCGACGTTACACTCGGACTGCAACGAGCTCGTGAGTTTGGTCGAGGAAACGGGTGCGACAATACGAGAGATTAGAGATTTGGAGGAACAGGTGAGATGTCGTAAGATAGCGAGATTTTAAAAAAAGTAGGCGTTTTACACGGCGCGGAGAGCCAGCATTTAATCTAACATTCATTCAGATCGATTCCGAGTCCGCTAAGAATGTCGGTGCTAATTTGGAGAGGATAACTGCCGACTTGAAACAGATGAAGCAAGAAACCGCCGCGTTGACCGCACAACTCCAGAGCAAAGCCTCGTGATTGTTATGTACAGTGCTGCGCCATTTTGCGAATTGTAACATTCAGGACCAGATGGGAATCTAGTACAGGTACGAAGCTCATCTTTCGCAATAATTCGCATACAACGAGAGATATTGGAACACGTAATTTGAATTCTCTATAAGGTTATTTAAATTATATAAACGCTCGTTTGCTGTTTTTTTTCTTTTACAGAATACAAAACGAATACAATCGAACGCATCAAAGACCAAACGTTTTTTTTAGCTGCGCAACTGGCAAAATGTAATGCGATATATCGTCCGTGAGAAATTTCCGCGAATCTACTAAGTTGGCTGCTAAAGAAGAAACCTACAACGTGCCTTGGCCTGGAGTCGTCAGGCATTAGGCTTCCACTAGCCTCGGGCCAAGTGTATAATAAAGACACGCTGCTAACATCAATGCTCAAAGAGACATTATTTGTTACAAAGCCTAATAATTTTTTAGCATCAAGTATTCGACTTTCGTATCTCTCGCGACTCGAGGAAGATCTGATCTTACAGCTGTAAATAAGATAACTGCTAAAAGAAAAACGTCATTTTCCGAGCAAGGAAAACATGTACAAAATATAGAATGTGTACGAACAATGGTAAAATCAACGTTTTATATTTTTTTTATACATACTCTCCTTGAAAATTATTTTCATTAAATAAGTATGTGTGAAAGAAGTCACACGTATAATATCAAAGTACAATAAGATAATGGTCCTGTTGACTTTTTTGTTCTTCGATCCTTTATACATATGTATACATATACGTCCTACCACTTTATTTCATAGTACACTTTATCTCTTACTTTTAACGTCCGGTGGTATGTAGGACTCTGTAGTAACTAATTTTCTTAATTTCTTTGCGCTGTGGGGCATGGCACGAATACGCTCGTCCTCTCTGCGTTCGTCCTCCTCTATCTTCTCTATTTGCAATTCGATTTCTTCCTCCTTGTCGAAGAACGTCAAGAGTTGTTCTTTCGTTTCCAAGTCCTTCTTTATCTTCTCTATATTACTAATTCTCCTTTCTCGATCTATCGCTTTCATTTGCGCTTCTAATACTGACGTTCTTTCGCGTTCCCAATCGAGATAAGTCTGAAAATTCAGCGTGTATTTGGCATGTTTTACAATTTACTGATTACAGCTATTGAGTAATTAATCAGATTCAAAGAAATCTAGCTTTTTATTAATATTCATTACCTGACACTGTTTAGAGATGTCCTTCTCAGCTTCCTCGTTTACAACCGCTTTAACAAGATCCTCTAATGCTTCAGTAAAACTTCCTTTAAGATTATTTTTCTCCTTCAATACGGACAACTGGGCCTCCACAAGCTTGAATTTTTCAGCATCTTGATCTTGTAGCCCACTGTTATCTTTCGATATTAATTCGAACACTTCTTCGTAAACTATCTTGTCCCGCATCGTCTCTGACCATTTTTTCATTAAGCTTAATACATCGTCGTACTTCTTGTACAATATCAGGCCCCTCAACTGGCAAGTTCTCCCTGTAGCGTCCGCCCGATGCTTCCCCAGAAAGCTGAGGGTCTTGCCGACGAGATCTCGTGGATCGGTGAGATCGAAATGATCGTCGAAGTACGGATTTCTCAGGTACGGCACGCGTACCTTCACTTCCTCCGAGGTGTCCGCCGGCGGAGGCTCCGGTTTCTTCCAATCGTCGGTATTTTCCAGATATCTGTGACACGAGTATAGGCACAGCGCGTTAGTGACGGGATGATCCGAGTCCTCCTGCAGCATCACCAAGCTCGCCACTTTCGCGGCGGAGGCGTAATCCTTCCTCTTCGCGAAGTGGTCCATCAGCACGTTGCAGTCGAAGTGGTCGGGAAAGATGCCGTAATTCAGCCTGTCGTTCAGCACCTCGTGCAGCTCCTGGACGTAGTCGTGCCGCAGCAGGTACCGTATCGCGGCGTGGTGCGTGGAGTCCAGTATACTCGTCGCTTCCACGGACTGCCGGAGATTGTGCAGGATCTTGATCACCTCGTCGACGTACTGGCCGTCGGTGACGCTGTTGACGAAGATGTCGACGTCGACGGCGCTGACCTTGCCGACGTTCCCGTACTTCTGGTCCAGCTGGACGTACATCGTCCGCGGGTCGATCCTCTGCAGCAGCGGCGACTCCAGTCTGCGGCTCCACGCCTCCTCGCAGCGATACGCCTCCGACAGGAACGGCCGCCTCTGCACTCGCGTCACGAGATCCCTGGACTCGCGACAGACCCGGCAGAGGCTGTGACCAAGTCCGAGCGTCTTCAGCATCTCGGTTATCAAACTAACGCGTAAACTTGTCGCATAACCTTGTCACGGTCACGGGTGGTGCACAACGGACGCCTTTTCTCCCTTCAATTTCCGGATCACTGCGCTTTGTTTTTATTTAATTTATTAGTGGTGATCCGATTAGTGATGCCTTCGATCCAGGATCACCCGAGAATCACCATCAACCACGCTCCCACGAATCTCACGATAGGGGGGTGAGGTAAGGTTATGTTAGGTTAAAGAAAATGTGAGAGTCAGTGTCGCCAACGTTGACAATTCCTAAATCCAATTTTCCGATTGGTTGGTCCGTTTCTGAGTACCGGCTTCGCCATCTCCGACTAGCAAAACTTTAAAACTGATCCCTAACCTATAATTTCTCATTTATTATTATAGAGGAGGGCTTTAGCCAAATAATTACCGAAATAGACGAAAACAAAATAATACACTCGGTCTCGAGCAATTAGCAATTCTTAAATGTAATCGACCGATCAAGTTATATAATCAGAGAAGAGGAGAAGTGAGACCGACTCTGAGAGATCAAATCGAGCTGAGCTTATAATTGATAACGGAGAGGCATCTAATCTCCTTCTAATCTCTGTACTCTTCTGATAACAGTTAACAGCTGACTAGGGGAATTTGATATTTACGTGAATGATTCCAAATCAAATATGATACATCACACTCGTCCGCGGACGCGTATCACGCGTCATGGACGCGTCGAGGAACGGTCCGAGTGATCGCCAATGGAATTCACATGTTCGAGCACGAGTTTGCTTGCGAAACTCGATTTTAGGTGATCCTCGAACTAATAAGAATCTCTGAGCTCCTCCGGACGCACCTCCCGTCGACGACGAACTTTTCCAATGGACAGCTCCGCCCCGCCAGTGTCGCGAGGAGTGCGGTATCCGGTGCAATAACGCTGCAAGATATTTTGTAATTTCGCCAATTAAGACAAGAGAGATGAATCGCGTGCGATTTATTGTATACAGGAACCGCATGATCTTCGACGACGTCGTCGTCGGATCACACGGCGTGTCCAGATGCGCCGAGCACGTCGAACGGCTCACACAATTTGCAGCGGACGATCACGATGAGATTTGTGTATGCAAATTCACGAAGCCTGCGGTTCGCCTGTGCGAAAGAGGACTCGACTCCTACCTCGTTTCAGCCTACGTTTCGACGCTATCGGAGTCACGTGTTTATCGTAGGAGTGCTGTGAGAGTGTTGAAGCACCTTCAGCCAGCCTGCGACGACAGGCCGAGGTTTGAGGTGGAACGTTTGCCGGTAATACTTGTAAGATTGAGGACACCAAGGAGGCAATTCCTGGATTATAAATGGCAAGTTTTGCAGTGATTTCACGACACGATTTTAAAAGCTACTACTGGTCTTTACACATCTACTTTTCCTCAGGAGCGAAAAATTAATGCAAATGGTTGCAGAGAGGCAAGAATCCGAGCACGCCATGTCCTGGCTGTCCACGCTTGGAGGAGCGTTTTCCGCACTTGGGGAAGAATTCGAGCACTGCGTAAGTTGCGGCCCCGGTTCTCGTCGAATCATACGTGCTAATTATTATATGCCAATCCGATTTTGTATCTTGTATCGTATCTCGTGTGCAGGCTAAAATGGCAGGCAAAATCTCGGTGAAGCAGTTTGAGTTGGCAATGCGCCTGGACGATCCTCTCCTGGTTGCTCGTTGCAAATTATACGCCGCCCTAAGCCTCATTCAACGCGGCTACTTCGCCACGCCGAAGCACATGATACGAGAGATTTACAAATTCGCGCTCCAGGAAAAGGACGTTCGTCTGCAAAACATGTGTCAGGGTGTATGGGCCAAGTTGCGATACAGTTACAAGCAATACAGACAGCTAAAGAAGTCCTTGTTACTGAGGAATTTGGATATATCCTCGGAGGTTTAGGAAATTCACTTTCCGCGTTTTTTCTAAGCATGTTGATAATTATATATATTATTTTGCAAGTACATGCTGACTCCAAAGTTTCTTGAATACTACCCTTCTTTGAATATCTTAAAATGAATTGGAAGTTTACATCAGACGAAAGAAACAGTAGTAGGCAGTAATAAATTTGAAACGGCTTGTTGAGCAAGATTTTTTTAATTCATGTCGGCAAGTCTTTATTAAATTTTACACATATTTATCTATATCATTTCTCTCTCTTTCTCTCTCTCTATTGCTTTTATCGTGTAGTGTGTACATGTGCGAATTTCAAAAATAACATGCACAGAAATACCGAGCGTCTCTACACTACAATTCACTGCACTTAAGACAATTCGTCAAAGATATGCAAATACGATGAGAAATTGTTTGCACAGTCTATTTTATTTTCGTTTGTATGAGACGTAAGTTTGTCGTGCGTGTTAAAAACGAAGTATTGAAACAAACACCATGTCGGTTATTTATAATGGTAAATTACAATCGGATACATATTGGTCTTTTAAGATATATTATTGCCTACTAGGAGATAAAGTATGCGACGCAACGTGCTCTCAGTGCTCTCTGCTTTCATTAATACGTTGCACGGAAATTGCAGGTATTTTTTTTTTTACGCATTTTGTGATTTCAAATAATGGTAACTCATACATTCAGTCTTTGATGATTGAACTAAACGTTGCCCTCGTATACTGAACAAAACGGTCTTATAATTATTGTAAACGACAAAGCCACTTATCAATACTGCTGCATTCTCTTGTTATTATATAAGGTATAAAATATCGGTATTATTTTGTACACAATCACTGCTCCCGGGATTTTTTTTTTATTAAATACTTCGTTTCTCTCGTGTTTTTATGCTTGAAATCCTTCGTCTGCAAAATAAAAACGGCTTGCCATTGCATTTACGTTAAATCACTTTAACATCAATGAGCGAGCGTGCCCATGGGATCCCAGGCGGGTAGTACGACGGGCTCCTGATTGAATACGGCCATCACGTCCGCAGGTACGTATTTCTTATCTACGACCGCCTCGAAGACGAATTCGGAGAACCAGTCGGTCGTCACGACCTGGTAACCCTTCTGCCCGTGATCCTCGCCCCAGGAGTTCTCTATCCGGAATTTCTTTATCTTGCCCTCTCGCTGAAATACAACAGTATACGTACGTTAGATCACCGATCGCGTTAGATCGCCGCGATAAATACCGCTCGAGTTATTTATAGAGGGAATACTCGAAAATACTCACGTCTATTGAAACGGCCGTGAATGCCATCGCGTGCACCATCATAGAGTCCCCGTAGAGCAGTCTATCGGCCTTGGAAAGCCCGAGGTGAATGTCGGTGCCGAACATCAGCTCGAAGTTGTAAGTCTTTACATCGTGAATACCGTGCTTATCTATTAATCTCTTGTTAACGTCGCAGCCGAACCAAACGGGCTCGTTGTCCTTGATACTCTCGGCGCACAGCTTCATCAGCAATTCCACCGGCTGATTGTTGTAGCGGGTAGTTTTCCCGTTCACGACATTCCCCAAGCAGTCCACGGTGTACAGTTTCCCGTAGGGATTACCCGGTCGTGGATCGGTCACCAGGCACACCTTATCGTTCACGTTGTAATGCGGCTTCACGTAGCTCTCGTAGAACTCGAGCGGCGTGATCGGGCCGACGCAGTTGTAATTCTTCGACTTGTCGTAGTACTCCCATGTAATCTTCTCGGACGGTATACCCAAACAGATGCCGATTATCCGATAGATGACCGTCATCTGCTCGTTTATCCGCGCCTTCAGCTCGTCGTCGGACGCGCCGTTGTCGATCATGTCTCGCAGAACCTTAGCGTACTCCCTCAGCTTGCTCTTCAGCAGGCTGTTCATGCGCACGCTGGACTCGCAGCTGTACGAGTCGGGGAAACACGCCTTCGGCACGACACCGTGTCTGGTGATCAGGTTGACGATCATGTCCCACTGGCCACCGTCGCAGGTGGGATCGGTCAACAGGAAGTTGACCAATCGGCCCTCGACCGGCTCGCCGCGTTTCGCGGTGTTCACGATGTTATGCAGGAAATAATTGCAACGTTCTACCTGCAAGAGAAAATACAGCTGGCTGTAATGCCTCAAGTACAAGTGATGATTCAGCGAACAATGGCAGCGTGCACAACCCTGGCGAAGGTAAAAATCAAAGCTGAATGTAAAGGCAGAGTGACGGAAATGTAAAGGAGCGTGAAACTTTTGGGAAGCGTTAATTTAAAAAAATATAAAAAAAGCGTCAAGAGCTAAACGCTTTAACGTTTCGCTGTTTCAATTAACGCTTCCTAGAAGTTTCCCCTTGCATTCCGCTGCGATTTCTACCTTTGCCAGGGAACACCGTCCCGAAAATCAACAAACCTTATCCCAGAAAAACAGGTAGGCCTGGCTGAACTCAAACTCGTCTAAATTATGCTGCTTCATGAAGCTAGTTCTCATGACGTTTAAGATGGCAAACAGCCAGCATCTCCCCGAGTTCTTCTGATTAGTCACGGGTTTGCCCTCGGTCTCGATCTTATGGGTGAAGACGTGGTGGGTCTCCTCGAGGATCTTCCTCGAGGCGCACGCCTCGATGGGATTCGTCTTCGTGCAGACATTCTGCGCGAGCACGTTGCGGTTGTCGGCATAAAACTTCGCACGTAGACCCTCCAGGACCTCGGGAGTCAGTGGACCTGCGGGGGAGAAAAAAAAATAAGGGAAGGAAGAACAGCTCGGTTAAAATTTTACGCGACGAGGCTTATCCGCGCATCTCGATCCTCCGCGCGCTGGGGGGAAAAAAAAATGAAAAAGCGCGCTATCATCGTCGTCGCGTCGGTAAATATTTGTATCTGAAAGACAGGTGCAAAGGTACCGCGCGATCCGATAGCGAAGCGGCTGCGAGTGCCGAATTTGAAATTATTATCATTAACTAGCGCCGGAGGGTGTGGCTAGCCGCGGGGCGCCAAAAAAAAAAAATATCCGGGCATATTCGGACAGGTTAAGGCTGGTCAGTTACATCCACGCGTATCGATTCGTCGCGTCTAATCCGAGATGCCCCTTCGCGCGGGCCCCTGCAGGCGTTCTTCTTCTCTACCGAGCGTTTCTAACGCGCGGCGGTGGATAAAATATCGTATCTGTATATGTGCAAACTTACAGGCGATCATCGTGACGGGATGCGAGCGAGCGGACCCCAGGCGACGCCGAGAATCAGGCCGAGAAGAAGAGAGAGAGAAGTCGGTGGATCGCGCGCGCTACACACAACGCACACCGACTGGGGGCTTGCGTTTATGGAAACGGCGCACCTCGCTTTTATCCCGTGATCGATAGACAAAGCAAGATCTACGTTGCTCTATCTCGCTCGCTCCCACTCCTTTGTGCTCCGCATAGTCCGCTATACTCCGCTCCGCGGTCGGGCGGCCGAAACACGCGATCCGTGTGATTTTTCGTTCCAGGGGATCCTTTTCTCGAGTGGTTACGTAAGACCCTCGCGAGCTGGCGCGGCGGCTCCGAAACCGACGCGTCCGATAGGATAAACATTTTCGAGGATTATGTAAAATATAATTATAGATCATAAAAAAATTTCACTCGCGCGCCCCACCGTTATTTGATGTTCCCAATTTTTTTTTTTTACCTCTCATATTTTTTATCTTGACGTTTTTGAATTTCAGCTTTTCGGCCTTTTAGAAATAAAAATTGATTTTTCACACAGTAATGCACAATTGCGAGGCTCACATTGACTTGAGTATTCTCTCTGTATTTACATATTCATTATATTTAAAATTTTTTTACATTTACATATTATTAAATTTCATTAAAATTAAGCCGCGTGTTAGAAAGTGGATAATGGGGGCTAGATCTCCTCTTACACGGGAGAATGTAACAGGGTTTTTTTTTAGGAGAAAGTATGTACAGTATAATTTTATTGAAACTCTGTGGGGAAATATTAGTTTCAAAAATTATCACAAGACTCACGCTCAGATCAATCGTCGATACTTGAAACTATATTATCGTCACCTAATAGTTGTTACATATTTATCTAACTAATCATCGCTTATAGTTATCTCAATTCATCCGTCGAGGAATCAGATTTCTACGTTGGGCGTGGATGGCTCGGCCTTCGATTCTAAGGAGAACGGTGGTATTCTGCAGTCGAACGCGTATCCGTCTTCCCTTTCCATCCTGAACGTTCCCCTGAAAACACACGTTGGGTCGTTGAGGAAAGAATTCAAAGTGAAAGAATACCATTTCTCACCGAGGAGAAATTACGGTAATCGTGCTTACCACATGTGACCACTGGGAGCCTGCAAGCTCACGTGACTGCTGTACTGAAAAGCGGGTAAAGCTTTCGATAGCACCGGTTCCTGACCCACTACTCCTCTTCCTCTGACAGTTTCCAATGTACCCGACAGGCTGAATATTCTCCAGTGCCTCTCGCGCAATTGTACACTCAGTTCGCCCAGATTTTCCAATCGGATGCAATAGCGCCACTGTAAAACGGAGGGTACATGTCCATTTCTAATCAATGTAGCTCAACTTTAATCTCGGTTTAACTTAATTTTTGTCTTTTTCTAGTTCTAAGAATTTAGAAGATAAAGAATAAATTAAACCGAAATTAAAGTCAATCTACATTTGTAGAAATGGGCCATAACGAAGAAACGTTTCGTTCAATCTCTTTCCTAAATCGAATAAGACATTTGACTTTGTTACCAGCTCACCCAGTATACAGACGTGGTCTGACTCTCCCTGCAACCCATGTAAAACGGTATGACGGTAATGCGAATATTCTCGGTCGTTTCCTTATGTACATCTGACAACTCAAGCCACGGATGATTCTTCTTCTGCCACGTGCGAAGGGTCTCCTGCGCAACGAAGCACGGCTCCTTGTCTGAATGATAAGTTAGAAATTTATCGAACAATTCGTGCTGCAACGCCGCTTTCTCGTTCGTGGTATACGGCAATACGTCCTCGTGAGCGACATAATCTAATCCTGGAATAGCATACAAGCTACGACTGCTCTCGTGATTTCCTAGGAAAGTAACTGCCTCTGTTTGAGCACGCTGCAAATAATATATAAAAAATATATAAATTATATGCATTACGTTGATCGTTCTAATAAGATCATTTTTAGCTGTTACTTACTATGTAGGGACAATCGCGTTGATCGATTAAAACTTGATAAAACGTGTGCGTTCTGCCTTTTACTTCTTTCTCGCCAACACTGTTGAAATTGCTGTTGTCCTTTCTGTAATTAAATGCACTTAAATTAACTACGATATTTGTATATATGAAACATGTATTTATCCATGTGACTATAAATAACTATACGTACTCATCCTTCTTATTAGATATATCTCTGTCATATACTCTTGCCAGCCATGGAAATAGAATTACACCCCGGTAACCAAAGACTCTGTGTAAAATCAATTGACCAGTATCGTACTTTCCTTGTAACTTTGGCGTTTCCAGTTTGCCGACTTCTGCTAATCTGGAAAAATATTGTGTACATGTACTATCACACAATTAAAGTACACTTTGGTTTTTTTACAAATATTATGTTTAGTTCGTAACAGATCACAATAGGCTATTATGTAATTCATGATGATAGATTCAAATCCAGACTGGGTCCAAAGTAGCATGGCTAAACGATCACATGAATGAACTAACACAAAGTCTTCTTTTCTTTGGTACAATAAATATTCATTCATGCAAATTTGAATTCATTCTTACTTGCTGCATTTATTCGTGTCCATTCATACTCTTTGTTTGGCAACAATTACAGCTCGATATATTATAAAATATATTGCACATGAATATACATTATAGACACATCGCAACAATGCAAATTGTTTGAATTGACAGATTGTAGAAATACCTTCTTCCCCCTGTTTTCTTTTTCTTTTCTAAGACTATATATAATCCTGAATATAAACAGGCCAAGGAGAAACTAATTTGCAATAATTGGCGTCATGCTGAGTCCTCGTTCGAAAATGAGGTCTTTCTTTATTAATAATTAACCGTAATAGGATTGTTCGACAGTATTATTCCAAGTAGCCTAATGATCTGTAATTCACTTCGTATGCGAGTATGTACCTGATGCATCGCACGTGTTGCAGGCGTGTCACGGGCGCCTTGAGGAACGATCGTTTCAGGTTGCTGGCAACGAGATTCCGCACGAATTCCATAGCTGTTCCGGGAATTATCGCCGATACCTGAGGTGAACAGAGAGGGATTTTTACGTCGCAAGATGGAAAGCCGACGGTAGCTGCTGCGTTGACATCTCTACTGATTTTTACGGATCATCTCAGAATATACCGGAGGTTATATCGCTGTTTATATCGCCGATGAGTTTGACGATTAGGGGGGCGCGGGAAAAGGGATGACGGAATGAATAAATCACGGAAAAATTCGAAAGGATCGAATGTGCACAACGAGGGAAGGAATAATTATTTTGCGCGACATATTTTTTGCTTAAATTATTAAAACGAAAATCTTACAAAATAGCTACACCAAATTAATTTAAATAATCCAACTTAAAGTATCATGCATTCAGTGCGTGCTTTCCATTCAGCGACGCGAGTCGACCGGAGCGTCGTTTCATCTTCGTTGTCATTGGACGTTGAAAAAAAAGAGAAAGTGATGCCAATTGTGTCGACTTGCGTCGCTGAAATGGAAAGCGTCCAAGAATAATTGCGACGAACTGAAAGGTCGAGTCGTAGTTTTCGAACCGCACTTAACGTCCGCGAGGCCGGCGATTCGTCGCCTCCGCGCGGTGGCCGTGTGGAGCCGTGTGAACGGCCGCGTCGCGATTCATGAGAACGCGGCTTGCCTCAGCACTCCCTCGCTTTGAAGATAAATCGCGCGCGCGCGAGCGGCGGCAACTTCGTGCCGCGCGGCTTGCCCGCGTCCACCAATGGGAACGCGGGGCGAGGCGCGGACCGGTGGAGTGTAGCGCGGACGAGAGAGCGCGTGCAGCGACGCATCGCATCGCGCCGTCGTGGTCGGCGAACTTCAAGCGATCGAATCGCGGCTGTGTGTCGCGTCGCGTCCCTCTCGGCACACGCTTAACCGTGTAAACGCCGCGTAAACGAGGTTTCTCCCGGCCGTCGTTCCCTTCCGCCGACGCACCCGGTCGTGCTGACCATGCCAAGTGTCTACGGAGAGTCGCGCGGAACACGTCGCGGGTGGTACGCACGCACTTAGTTGAGAATCAGGCGGTCGAGAAACCGCGGCTCCGCAAAGAGGCACCCCTCCCCCCTCCCCCTCCCGTGTGTGCGCGCGTTGTGTGTGTGTCGTGCGAGTGCGCCCCGTGCGAGAGGCGATTCACCGCGTGCGGCGAGCTTCGTCGTCGGGATTACGCCGCTCGCTAACGCTTTGTTGATATTTCCGAATGTCACAGGCCCTGCGGCGCCTATGCATATCTCCAGGTAACGTATGACCACGTCGACGCCGCTCGTTCGCCCCTTTCCCGCCACGGCGTTCCCGGCCCCGCCGGAGCACCGCTCTCACACCGCCAGTCTCTCTCCCCCGTTGCGCGAGAATCTTGTTTACGTCGTTGGCTTGTATACGTGCGCGGCGCCATAACCTCGAAACCGACGGGGACCCCGACGATTGTCCGTCGCTCCCGTAATCAGTACGCCCGCTAACCTGTCGACACCGGCGTCGAGTGACACGATATTTCGTCCCGCTCACGTTCCACCCGTCCGTTCGCGTGCCGGGGCGCACCACCGTCCCTGGCGTCCCTTCCGAAATATGTTGCCGAGCGCGCCGTACAAGCGGGGCTTCCGCTCGGCTTTCACCAGTTATACCTGATCGTAACGCTCGGAACGTTATGGCGTTTTTGTCTCCAAGTACATCAGGATGTGGCATTTACCTGAGATCCTCCTTCTAAAATGTGATATCAACATCACGTGTACCTTAAATTTCAAATGTTGAGCTTCATATCGTGCGCGATTTTTAAGGTATAGGATATACGTAGAAAAGATACTTTAATTACATTGTGTAGGCTCTTCTGAATTGACTTGTAGAAAGCACAATTTAAGACGTCCTCACAAGAATCTTATAGTTTCATATAAATCCTATGTAAATTAAAGGCATGTTCCTTCTTTAAATATTATCCGTTTTTTTTTTGTATTTTCCGAAAGATTATACTTGTGAAACGTAGCGTAAAATGTGAGATAAGATATCAGTGACATATTACTTGGCGTTAGACCTTGTGAGGAAAACAAACAAACCCGTGAAAATATCAATCGTGTCCTCCTGTACTGTAAACCCTTTTTAACTCGAACTATGTTACTTACAGAACTTTACATAGATAAATATTATCGCATTACAGAATTTGGACCGTGTTCTAGAATACATTAAAGATAAAGTGCTTGGTTACATTTGGTTGGTTTACTAAGTAGCCGCAATGTCTGAAATAATATACCCACAAGGGTGCAGGTCAGTCACCGAAGATTTAGGTCCGGACGAGCTAATCAGGAGACTCAAGGTACAAATCAGACACAGCGCAGGCATATATACCTGCTGCGATAAGCAATGCATTATGTAGAGAAAATGTAATGTTAAGGCGGCGTTTCACTTGACGCGTCGCAACGCTCTTGGAATTATTTCGTCCTTGTTGTTTATTAAACGAGGACGAATGACGCTAAACGAGCATTGCGAGCGCCAAGTGGAGCTAGCTAATCTAAAACTGTAACAAATGTATGTAGACACTAGCGCACACGCTGCAAGCTATGGGACAGGATGAGGGAATGTACCAGCAGTACATACCGCTGGCGTTACACCTGGCGGAGGAGCACTTCCTGATGCATCAGAGCAAAGATGTGCAGCTACTAATTGCCTGCTGCATCGCGGATGTCTTGAGAGTTTACGCGCCAGAGGCCCCTTACAAAGATGCCGATCAGGTAAACATTTGAATTACAATTGCAACAGTTTGTCGAACGGTTTATTAAACCACGGTTGGATTGACTTGTTAAAAATTGTTGACTGAACTAAGCGGTTTATCATTGCTGCTTCTAACATGACTTTTAGGTCAAAACGATATTCCTGTTCCTCATTAAACAACTGGCGGGCTTAAAAGATCCTAAAGATCCCGCTTTCAAGAGGTACTTCTACTTGCTTGAGAATTTAGCTTACGTCAAGTCGTTTAACATGTGTTTTGAGCTCGAGGATTGCCAAGAGATTTTCTGCGCACTGTTCTCCCTTATGTTTAAAATTGTGAAGTGAGTATACCCGAAAGTGAAAGAGAGAAAATAGATTGCAATATGATGCGATTAATGCAACACCTTGTTTTTAGTGATGAACATTCTGGCAAAGTTAAAAGCTTCATGCTGGACGTTCTGTGTCCACTCATTACCGAATCGGACATCGTCAGTAACGAACTTCTGGATATCATACTCATGAATATTGTAGAGCCAAACAAAACGCAAAAGAAGAATGCGTATTTGCTCGCTAAAGAGCTGGTAATCAAATGTAGCGATACATTAGAACCTTATATTCAGGCGGTAAGTGAGAGAGTGTTAAAAATTGCTGTCTAACGTGCCGATTTTTTCCATTTTATATAACACGCTGAAACGCCACAATTGTTCACAGTTTTTCAATCATGTCTTGATACTGGGCAAGGAGGAGAAGAGCTTGCAAATTTGCAAAAAGGTATACGATCTGATCTACGAGTTGAATCACATATGTCCGAGTGTCTTGCTGTCCGTCCTCCCGCAACTAGAATGTAAATTGAAATCCTCGTCTGAGAACGAACGGTTGGGCGCCGTGGCGTTGCTGGCGAGAATGTTCTCGGAAAAGGGCTCGCAATTAGCTGTACAGCATACACAGTTATGGAGGGCGTTTCTGGGACGGTTTAACGACATCAGCGTGTCCATTCGTATTAAGTGCGTGCAGTATTCAATGCATTTCCTGCTAAATCATCCCGAATTGAGAAAGGATATCACGGATACTTTGAAACTGAGGCAGCACGATGCCGATGAGAGTGTACGCTACGAAGTCGTTATGGCTATCGTGACGACCGCCAGACGAGACTTCGAAGTTGTGTCGGACAGCGAGGATTTACTCGAATTTGTCAAAGAAAGGACCTTGGACAAGAAGGTAGAATGTTAAATTTAAGCTTAAATTATAATTTACTCCTTAGGTTTACGCGGCTCGAGTTTTCTAATAATTTATTAAATAATCCTTTTCAGTTTAAAATACGGAAGGAGGCAATGTCCGGCTTAGCTATGATATACAAGAAACATTTGAACGACGCCGACGTGCCGCAGGCCACAAAGAAGGCGGTTATCTGGATAAAAGATAAAATATTGCATGGCTATTACATGGCGGGCATGGAAGATAGACTGCTGGTGGAGAGATTGCTGAATACGTGCCTAGTACCTTATCAGCTGCAGGCTGAAGAGAGAATGAAAAAATTGTACCATCTCTTAGGTACAATCGATGATCACGCCTCTAAGGCTTTCGTGGAACTTCAGAAACATCAGCTTGCGTACGTTGTGCATTAATTGTTTCAATTTACAAGTTCCCGCAGGGATATCTTTGTTCTAATACATATTAATTATATATACTAATAGGGTGCGAAGAGCAGTGGTTGAATGGATAGAGATTGTGAAGAAACCGGACGCTAAAAATGAGTTAGTGACGAAGATTCATCAGATATCGCGCTTCCTGCCGGATCCCATGAAAGTACAGGAGTTTCTGCAAAAGTTTAGCACTCATATGAAAAAAGACAACAGATTACTACTGGAAATGGAAACAATTGTGCAACCAAATGTCTCTTGCAAGGAATGTGCTGAAACAATAACGAAGGTTCTCAAAAAATTAGGACAGCCCGTTATGACTAATCTATACTATAATACAATCAAGATGCTGCTCGAAAGAGTAAGCTCTGTCATGATTGACGAAGAAGCTATTCGGGTAAGCAGTTCTTTCAAAGTCTATTTTACACTCTTTTTGTTCGAAGCAGTGTTTAATAAAAAATAAATATATGTGTGTGTTGTTGCAAATTAGGTTTTGATCGGATACGTCTTAGACTGTTTGAAGGGAGGTAACGTGATAGAGGAAGTCGGTCTTAATCCGAATAATGCAGGAGAAAAAGGATTAAGACTATTAGTGGTGAGTTGACAATTCATTCTGAAAATAATTGTACATTAATATAAATTTTTTTATGCATCAAGAGATTATAATTTTGCGATTAAAGCACAAGTACATTATCCGAAATATTTCAGATGCTCTCGTTTGTATTCGGTCCGCATTTCTTGCATAACGATATCTTGATGCAACTCGTCAATTTGCTGGAATTAGAAGACGAGATGGTGGCACCGTTAGTTCTCTCTATCTTTACGTTCCTTGGAAAATATAAACCTCTATGCGACGTGGCACCGGACATTATGAATCTTATGGTGCCGATATGCAAGAACTTCGCCGAGACGGGAACACCGAAGCAGGCGAAGCAAGCCGTGAGATGTTTGTTCGTTAATATGACCAATATTCACGACACCATCTTCCCCGAGATCATCGAGAGAATTAAGAACACGCTGACGCCAACATCAGAATATTATCGGACGTCTATAGTCACGTTAGGTCACATAGCGTATAATTTGCCAGACAAATATCAAGTACAAATAAAAAATATGGTGTCCAGGAAAGTAAGTGCGATAGAGTTGTAACGTTAACAGTTGTAATAAGTTTTTTTTTTTTTTTTGTGACGCTTTGTTGTACACGGGACGATCTTTACTCCTGCAGATAGTTAAAGAATTACTAGTGAAGGAAAGCAGCGAGCAAACCTCCGAGGCTATCGAGGGAGATTGGTGTAGGGAGGATCAATTACCCGAAGAGACACGATGCAGATTGGAAGGCTTGAAGTGCATGGCGCGTTGGTTGTTGGGATTGAAGACTGACGTACTCTCGGCGCAAAAGACATTCAGGATGCTGAATGCTTTTATGGTGAACAAAGGTGATCTGCTGTCACAGGGACGCTTGAGCAGGGCCGAAATGAGCTGGTTGCGATTGCAAGCCGGTTGTTCAATGTTGAAGATATGCGAACAGAAAGGCGTAGGCGATCAATTCACTGCGGAACAATTTTATAATCTCTCGCAACTGATGGTGGTACGTTCAACATGGATCTATTCTTACGTGATACAATAAATGATTATGATTTGATATCATGGAAAAAAAAAATCAAATTTCTCAGTCATAATTCATTTCAATGTATTTCACTTGGTACTTAGGATGAAGTCCCTCAAGTCAGAGAAGCTTTTGGCAGTAAACTGCACAAAGGTCTGGGAAGGGGAATTCCAAACAAATGCCTACCGCTGGATTTCATGGGATATTACGCTCTGGCTGGCAAGGAACAAGACAAGAGATTAAAGTGTGTACTGAAGACATATATGCAGACAGACATAAACAAAAGAAGGGATTACGTGAAGACTCTTTCATTGGGTACTGTCGAGCGGGCCATGGGTAAGAGATTAAATAGTAAGCCATAGTCATTAAGGCGAATTCTGTTTAGTATCGTGTTTCGTCAAATCGTGATTCTAACAGTTTTTCTCGTTTATAATTTCTCAGATCAATTGCCTCATATTTTGCCGGATTACATGCTGGTTTTCGCGGTACCTATTCTCGCGCATGACCCCGAATTTACGAGTCATATTATGGTGAGCCAGTTGAAGGTTATTCAACAATGTCTTTGGTTCATCTTGGAACCTCTCATCACGAAGAATGAATATTATTGCTACGGATTTTATAAAAATCTCGTGGAACGCATGAAGAGCCACAAAGACGCATTGAAGCCCGAGGACAACGAAATGAATTATGTAATTATTGCAAATTAGAATTTACCCTTTCCAAGTAGTCGTTCATGATTAAAACAAATTTTCATTTTTGTCACGTATAGAAATTGTGGGCTGTTTGTGACTTGGCGATGAATGTAATATACACCAAGACTACTAATTTCGACATGAAGGAGTTTCCGAGCGAAACGCGGATTCCTACAATGTATTTCAAACGGGCAGACGATGTAGTGCATAATCAGAAGAATTACTTACCTGCGGAATTACAAGTGAACATGACGACTCCGAAAGGAAAGGGATCATTCCACAATACACACACGGTTAATGAGAGACCACAGCGCAAGACTAAATCCAAACAGCAGAAGGAAGTGGGCATTGGGCCTAATGAAACAGACGCAAGGGTAAGATGATTTTTTGAAACAATTTCGCGATTCTTTTTGTATATCTCTAGTTTGCTTAATTTAAACTCAACATATAAATAACGACCATTCCTATATTGTATTATGGTAATATTAACGAAATAATTGCGTCATACAAATTTAACTTTTCGACCATGTATATAATTGTGATTTCAAGCTGCAAGTTGGAGAAGCGGAATGTATCGATGCACAGGTAATATATAGGTGTAATATTAAAAAGTGTTTTTGCTATAAAAAAAAGCATCTTTCTCAAATAAATCTCGTATAATATGCTAGTATTCGAGTAAAACATATGTTTGTCAGATGTATTTAGATAAATTTATGCTATTTTCAGCCTGCGGAAGCATCAGAAACCAGGATTCAACTGCCTGGTTTAGAAGAAGAGGTAAATTTTCTTTCATTTTGAGAAATTCTTTAACGGAAGATGTCTAAATTTCGTTTAATTTTCGTGTTTTAGATCGAGGAACCACCGGCGAAGAGGGCATTAAGGGAGTCGGATAAAGTAAATAAATAATTCAGTGATCGGACTATACCCGGGGAACACATTGGGACGGGGAAAGACTTAAAGAGCATGCTGATAAGAAAATTAAAAGTCTAAAAGATACTTTACAAATTAGAAAACAGAATATTTTGGTTATGTATAACAATTAATAAACCTAAGTCGTTCGTGTATTTCTAGAGTGTAAGATGTTAAGATTATGACAGTAACGTCAGGCTTATAATGCAAAGAGTCCTCTGGACTTGCAACTTGTGAGCAAGAAAAAAAAAGAAATAGAACGAAAAGTTTATTAATTCTTCGCAGATATATATGAATCCATAATTATATTTGTTCTGTTCACAACAGATTGAATTACATTTCGTATTTTTCGCTTGTTACTTTTACGAATGATAGAATGCATTAAGTAATTTATGATTAAAAAAAAAAAGAATTTTCTTCAAATGTGGTGTAAAGCCAACATGAAAACATTTTATAAATTTAGTAATTTATCGTTTTTTTCGGGATCTGAGCTCTTAGGTCTGGTTCCACAAATATAAGATCAACTTTAATCTCGGTTTAACCTACTATTTATCTCTCTCTAATTCTTAGATTAAAAAAAGATAAAGCGAGTTGAACTTCGGTTAAATCGAGTTAACTGCGAATTGTGAAACCGGGCCTTGTTCGGCCAACATTCACCTTTGAACTATAACAAATGTATATGACCATTTCACTTTTAAAAGTGAAACAATGACATAAATTTTTTTATATCTCTATTTCGCGAACGTCTAATTATTACTACCACAGAATTATTTTACTGAAAAATAGCATGGATTTAAACAAGCAAACATATATATATAAATCAATATTGTCAACATACTTTATTAATAAATGAATAAAGTGAAAACTTTTTCTTTCTAAAAAGAAATATACCCAAATCATATATCAATTTAAATCGTCACTTTATAAACAGAAAAATACTATAGTTTTGTTGCATAAACGACATATTAGATAAGAAGTTGTGTGTCTATTGGCTTTGTGATCCAAAGTTGTTGGTTTTTAATAATACGGATTATATCGCCACACTTTAGTCGCGATTATTATAATTGATACACATTATTATGATCTATGTGTAACAATGAAAAACAAAAGAATATTGCGAGAACTTGCGAAAACCTTCAACTTTTGTATTTATAAATAAACATAAAATTAAAATTATACCCGATTGCAAAAGATTATTGCGTAATACCTTAATTTATATCAATGTATATGCAATTCTTACAATTTACATGTGTGTGAAGAGAAGCTAAACCGCGTTTCAATTTTATTTATTAAATATTACAAATATTCGAAAGAAGAGAGATTTTTGGGTATGAATTTTTGAATGGAGTTTTGAGTAAAGTGTTGGGGCCTAGGTTTTAAAGATTTAAGTTTTCAACATTATATTAATATTATTAAACTTAAACATTCAACTATCTTAAATTTAAACACGAGTGAAGTTTGCGCATGTGAATTCATGAATGATGACGGATGATTGAAATCGTATAAATATTATAGATTTAACATATACCTATTACCTTCTCATAGAAATTACAGTACAATGCATCTTCTATTATGGCATAATTTTCTAAATTGTGAAAAATTATGTAATTTTTTCCTCTTATCATCAAATATAAAATTTTTCTCTTTTTTCATATACATCCAGTTTTCTCACTAGACATATTTTTTATATTACTCATCAACAAATATATCTCTACTAATTGGTTTAGATTATTGGATTAGATACGATAAAAATATTTTTGTAAGTATACACTCATTTTTCTGCATAGTACTGCAATTTTTTCAAATAGGTCATAGATTACGAAAAATATACATAATCTGATTAAACCAATTAATCAGTGCTATTCATCTGTCGATCTGTGAGACATGGCGTATTGTAATGGTTCTATAATAAAACAAATTAAGTAATATGTTACATGTGTACGTTTAATCATATAATTACGTGTCTAGCGCGTATATGTATTACAAAATTAGCGTTTTTTAAAAGATTTCTTTTGGCCCTTTCCTTTCGTTGCAAATCTACCTTTTTGTTGCGTTTTAAATGTATTCTGTTTCTTCTTGACTTCTTTCTTCTTATTTGCCCTGAAACAAAAAAAATTATGTATTTACATGTTACAGATTTTGATTAAAAAAAAAATAATTTCAAACTTACTCATATCGCATTCTTTTAACACCCTTTTTGCTCGTATCCGTTAAATCAGCGGCGAACGATGATTTTGGTCGTTTCAATGATCCTGAAATAAACATAATTTATTGAATCAACAATTTCTTTGATACAAGTATGAATATGAGATCGTATAAATATGAGATCGTACTTCTTTTAGTTAAGTCACGATTATTTTCGTCCATGACTGTTCTAATTTTCTTCTGTCTGTTACCCTTTTTAGCCAATCGCGCTTGATAAGCGGCTATCTTTTCTAATTCTTTCTTAGCTCTATCCTCTGCTGTATCCTTTTGAGGGTCATTTTGTGCTTTCTTCTTTTTTTCTTGTACAATATTTGAAGGCTCTTTTTCATTCTTTTTACTTTTCCTTTGTTTTTTAGTTAATCGAAGATTTTCTAAAAATAGAAAAATTTGAATAGTTCACAATGCATATTGCTATTTCTCTCTATCTTTTTTTTATTGAAATATAAAGTATATTAAAGTACGTTAATGAATTATACCTTTCTCTTTTCTTCTTTCCTTTGTAGATTGGAACCAACTTCTCCGTTCCTTGCCATCTTCTTCAAGTAATTTCTCGACACGATTAGCTTCATTCTCTACTTTAGCTAATTCTTTCTCACTCTTTTCCTCTTGCAAAATCTTTTCCACGTCTGGCTCCAAGGATTGTAATTTCTTATTGTATTTTTCTATTATGTCAGGCGGTATTATCCTGTTCTTAACCGGATTTTTCGCTTGTTTGATAATTTTTTTTACCAAAATACGTTCCTGTTCTCCTGCTAACGATACCGAAACACCGCCACGTCCTGCTCTTGCAGTTCTCCCCACTCTAATAATTACAAGCATAGTTTTTCGTCATGTATGTAAACAACGTGCTAGAAATTTAATTTTATACCTGTGTATATAATGTTGAAGAGTGGCAGGCATCACGAAATTAATCACAGTCTTCACACCGCTTATATCCAGACCTCTTGCAGCAACGTCAGTCGCTAATAAGATGTCAATTTCCTCGTCTTTAAATTTTCGAAGATTCTCCAATCGTTGCGGTTGTGTGAGATTACCATGAAGTTCTCCAACCTTGTTGAATACGACAAAGAGAGATATAAATTAGTATCGTATTTATATTTAAGTACTAATGCTTTTTTAGTTGTAATCAACTATTCTATCCAATAATTTACTTACTTTTACACCTAACAATCCCAATAAAATATGCAATCTGTGAGCTTGTTTTTTCGTTTGTAGAAAAACCATGACATGATCATGAAAAGTTCGGCAAACTAACGCTGCTAGGATTGCTTCACGATCTCCCTCTCTTTCCTCACGTATGCTAAAATCGTATTTGTTCGGTAAATAATACCTATATATAAGAAATAACTGCAAATACTTACATTATACTTACCGAATAAATTCTTGACGTAGGTTGAAAGCTACATCTTCATTGCTATCCACAAATATTTTAATAGGTTTGTCAAGAGACACCGCGGCTAAATCTTCGACTTCCTCGGTCATCGTAGCAGAGAAGAGAATAGTCTGCCTGGTTCTTGAACATTGCTTCACAATATATTTCATTTGTTCAGCAAAGTATTCATCTAACATCCTGAAATTAAAAAAAAATTCGTTACAGTTATTATCATATATAATTAATTAATATCAACATTATATTATAGGAATATATTTAATGCATTAATTATTTTACCTATCAGCTTCATCCAAAATTAACACTTCTATACTGTCCAAGGAAAAGATAGGTGCATTTCTTAAATGATCGATTAATCGTCCAGGTGTTGCTATTACAATATCCGGATTTTTTCTCAGTACACTTTCCTATATTAATGTAAAAAAATATATAAAGAATGTCATCTGATTTTGGCTTTGTTCGAGTATTATAATTTATATAAAAGAAGTATGAGAGGAAATAATATACCTGTACTTTCACATCTAATCCACCAACAGACAAACCGACCTCTACCGTTGTAAATTGAGCTAATTGTTTTGTCACTTGATAAACTTGCACTCCCAGCTCTCTGGTGGGCACAAGTACGAGAACACGCGAAATAGCAGGACCGTCCAACGGTCTATACAACAATCTTTCCAAAGTGGGAAGCATGTAGGCCGCAGTCTTACCCGTGCCCGTTGCCGCACAACCACAAATATCACGACCCATTAAAGCTGCTGGAATGGTAGCAGCCTGTATGGGAGTTGGATGTACAAAATTCATCGTAGTTATGGCCTAAAAGTTTGTAAAATCAATTAA